CTTGAACCTTATGCCTACATCCTAGGAACCGCATGTTCCTTTCTTAAAGAGGGTAAGGTATCAAAATCAAGACCGACACCATTATAGCTTGGTAGATATTTATTAGTGCAACGTTAACATAGGTATAAAGCTTGGTCTATGATATTAGATCGGCAACAAATTACCTCTAAATGGCAAGGCCTCTATAAAGGCTATGTTTGTTATTGAGGAAGAAGAAATGGGTTTAGTTGTTTGAGTCATTCAATCTTATAGAAAAGAGAAGTCGGTTTAAAATTTTTATTAATAAACAAATGTGGGCATTTTTTACGAGACAAACAGAATGTAATTTAACATAGGTATAAGGACTCGGACCTTCACCAATTAGGCGGTAATTGAAGAGTATCCAATTCTTATCGTTACCATCAAGATTAAAATATTGTCACGTAGGACTTTCGACAATCAAGATGGTTGTTTTCCAAATACCATGATAGATTTGGTGAATATAATTTTATTTATAATATCACTAGATATTTCTAAACATTAATTTAAATTCCAAAATAACTATATTCTAATCTCTCTAGGATTTGTCTATGCTTGAGCAGAATGATGAATACGTATGTTGTTTACATGATCGGCTACAATATATTGTTCTTATTGACTTTTTTTTCTTAGCACAAGATTTAATTATACATGGTTAGAAATTATATCTGAAATATTGGAGAGTTTAATTGGAGTTTTTTCTATTTTAGTTGTTTTTTTTAGAAATACCTGCTTTTATCATAAATAAAATTATCATAGTGGTTTTCATAAAATACTATAGTGGTATTTGAAAATTTAGTAGCTTGATTATGGTAACCTTACCTGGTGACATTTTGGTCTTAAAATTGCGATTGATGGTGAGGATCGGGAGAACTGGATACTCTCTAGTTATCACTTAATTGGGGAGCATCTCAATCCTAGTTACACACACATGAAAAGTTACACATAAACCCATCTATATTATAAATCTAAACGGTTCATTGTTATATACATGTCATCAAATCTAACTGCATCAAAAATCATCTAGATCAAAATTTTATATCCTATAATTCAATCAACACAAAATAATCAACCTCTGAGACCTTTGGGACCGTTCATTTCTAGATCATTAGATGTATAAACTGAAAATATTAAATCTATGTGATTTTTAGTCTTCATGAAGTTTTGAATGCATAGATCACAATGTGCAGTGTAGACCACATATTTTTACATGTATGTATAGCTTAAGTTAGTTATACATGTACGTATTGTAACCTTACCCAATAAATAAAGAGTAAGTAATATGCTTAGCAACTAAGTAAAATGAATACAAACATATCACATAATAAGAAACATAATACAAATTTAGCAGAAAATCTAATAGGAGCTAGACAGAGGCATCAAAGTGAAACGAGATCGAAAAATTTAGGATATCCAAGTGTGAAAAGATACTTGGGGGTATAGTAAAATGAGATCTAAACTTGGGGGTATCTAAGTGTTAAAGAAATACTTTGAGGTATCAAAATGAAATGAGATTAAAATTTTGGGATATCAAAGTGTTAAAAGATTTAGACACGTAGGATATTGAAATCAGAAGTATGGATAAACTTTGGGGTACCCAAGTAAAAATATGCCTCATAAGACTTAGACATGTAGGCCAACTGACTCATTTTACAAAGAGTAGTGTTAGGGGGACTCTAAATATGGGACAGGGAGGGGACAGGTGAGGTGTCCCCTCCCCACTGCATGATACACTGGCACTGAACAGTGTATCATGCAGTGGGGAGGGGACACCTCACCTGTCCCCTCCCCCTGTCCCATATTTGGGATCCTTTTGACATTGCTCTTTTACAAAACTCATAGGCCCATGGGCCCTCTCTGTCCCTTTGTTGACAGCAGGCATCCCTTCCTTGCAAGCTCCCCCACACAAAAGAGCAGGAGCCTATTGTGGGCCCACCGACAATTGCTTTTCGAAAGCGGGGGAAATTAACAAAAAAAAAACCATACTCCCCTATCCTCCGACTCCGCCGTGCCTCGGCCGCGCCTAAGGACACTTCAGCCGGCCCCTCGTGCCCCGCACCAACCCCGATCCTCCTCAGCCTCCCCCCACCGACCGCACGCCGCCGGCCCTCGCTCCAAACGCCTAATGTGCTAATCCGCCGACCGCGCTGCAGAGGAACCACCGTCCCGCGCCTGCCCCGCCGTGCAAAGGGCAAAGCACGCCCCTCCTCGTGTTGGCCTGCGCGTCAGCAGACGCACCGCTCGCACCGGGCTGCCTCCCCTTCCGCAGCCGCTGTCCTCGATTAACCTCTCTCCATCTGACGAATTCCGTCGCCGTTCGTCCGATGCCCCCGCCATACACCGCTCGTCCCCTGTCTCCAGCACCACCACGTGCATTCAACACGCGTTTCTACCTCAACTTCCAATGTGGCTCTCAAACTAATGTGAAATTCCTTTGAGGCTCCCTCCCCAAAATCTTGATCTAGCCGTCGGCGCGACGCAGAGTAGACCGCCTCCGTTGTCCGCGACGAGGGCGTTGATCGCGTCGTCGTGGGCTCGGATCGA